AGAATTTTTATCCGAGTTATTAAAGACCAGTTTCGATCCTAACCGCGGTTTCTTCAAACTCACCAAGGACAATATGCTGTATCCGAATCCCACGGTGCAGTTGCTAGTTGACGATTTCCCAAAACATTATTACTTTATTGGCAGAATCTTGGGGAAGGCACTGTACGAGAATCTGCTAGTGGAGTTGCCGTTCGCTGAGTTCTTCTTGTCGAAGATCGTCGGACGCCAATCGGACGTGGACGTGCATCACCTAGCCTCTCTTGATCCCATCATGTATCGCAGCCTTCTCTATTTGAAGAGTTACAAAGGTGACGTGGCGGATCTCGGATTAGACTTCACCGTACTCAGCGACGAACTTGGCGAGAGACGGGTCGACGAATTGAAGCCGAGCGGCGCCAACATCCCCGTGACAAGTCACAATCGCATTGAGTACATTCATCTGATGGCCGATTATAAACTGAACAAGCAGATACGTGCGCAGTGTTTCGCGTTCAAGCAAGGAATCGGCAGTGTAGTACCACTTGACTGGTTGCAAATGTTCAACAATAAGGAGCTGCAAGTACTCATCTCGGGCGCGCAAATTCCCGTGGACGTGAACGACTTGATGTTACACACGAATTATACCGGCGGATACGCGCCCGATCATCCGACTATCACTGCCTTCTGGAAGGTCGTCAACGAGTTCAACGATCAGCAGAAGAGCCAACTACTAAAGTTTGTTACCAGTTGTAGTCGCCCTCCTCTCCTAGGATTCAAGGTGCGTTGTAAATATATGTGCGATTCTACAACTCGATATCTCGAAAACTAGATTACAAAACTCAATCTCAACCTAGAATCTAATTAACAACAATCAGTATTCTAATCATTACATTACATTTGTTTCTCCATTGTTTGTTCAATCTTTGACGTATTTTTGTTCACAGGAACTCGATCCACCATTCTGCATTCAGCATGCCGGCACCGTGGATCGTTTGCCGACTTCGAGTACCTGTATGAATTTGCTGAAACTTCCCGAGTTTCCGGATGAGAAAATCCTACGCGAGAAACTCCTGTACGCGATACAGGCCGGCGCGGGCTTTGAGCTTAGTTAGAGATTTTTTAATTTCACTTCTATTGACTCCCATTTGATCCAAATGTGTAAATACAATGTAAAACTTTGTGAGTGTATAAGATGTAATGAGGAGAAAATGTCATGATTTGTTCATGCTGTATTTTATGTGAATTAGCGTTAGGACTTCCTACAAGATTGGGGAAAACGTGGCGAAGATATTAATATTATATAACAGGAGGGGCCAATTATATATACACCAGGCATGCCAATTTGAACTCCGGAAGAGTTCAAGACAAAAGTCATTGACGCAAAAAAATTCAATGTGAATAACATTTCAGAGACTGAAATCTTAAAATGTTGATAAGCATCATTCAGATCAATACTTTACAGTCCGTGAAATCTTATTACATTTTTTGCGTCGATAGCTTTGCGTTTTGGCTCCGGAGCTCAAATTGGACAGGCCTGATATACACTAAGCAAAAGTACCTACCAACGGAGATTATCATCGATGTCACTTTGATGTGCCGTTTGTAAAGAAGACACGAAACGTTTGTAGTATGCATGAGTGTGTATAACACATGTCGGAGAATGTACGGATATTTTTTTGGTTTCAATTTTTCAAGCCCTTGGCCTACAATTGTATAAATTATGTATATTTTTATTGTTTTATATTCGCCATGTGATGTGATTTTGTCACAACGACTGCTACTTTACTTCAATATATGTGAGAATAGATGTATGTATTTATGAGGTATATTGTTAAGTTGTGTAAATAAAATACCTGAAAGCGTTGAAAATGTTTGTCGATATTATTTAAAAAAACATTTATAAATTTATATTAATTGATTATTTTATTTGCAATCAAATATTAATTATTTCATATTAATATATTTTGTATTGATTTTAGTAATATATAATTTGTATATATACTTGTGCTGATCTTTAATTGTTATATATTAAATAATAGGGAATGTATATAAATAATAAGGTAAGGATTAAAATAAATACGTACTTAAATATTTAAATAAAATAATTTAAATAATATTAATATATTTATATCATTAATATATATAGAGATTGAGACATTATTAATAATAGAGATTGAAATATTATTTTCTTAATATACTAATTATTTCATTTAAATCAATATTTTTATTAAGACTCATATCCATATAAGTTTTTTGGTCTATTAAAACTCGTTCCTTAACATTTTACTTAACTATATAAACATTATATTAATATTATTCCATGTTTTATATAATCATTCAAAGAATAACTATAAATTATATTTAAATTATAATAATTGCAACCATTCTCTTATGGTAATTATAATCATAAATACCAAAAATTCTCTCAGTGTATTCCTAATCTCATAAGTCATTATGATATCAAAATGATATCAAATGACTCCAATAATCATTAAAAGTTATTTTTCAATTACTTTCAATTCATTTTAATGTCATTTTGACGTTATCTGTGTGACTTGTTCTGTTTGGGTCGTATCATGGTATATCGCAACATCTCATCTGCGAAACTGCGAAAAAAGAACATTATGCAGCTTGCATGCTGCTTGATGTCAACAAGCAATTGAAGAACCGTTCCTCGAACGCTTTTAGAAATATAAAAGTGAAACTAAAAGTGAAATAATGTTAGATACAGATTAACTTTAATTTAACTTGTGCCTCTTTAACTTACTTTTTATCTTTCTTCTGGCTTTAAGAGTTAGAAAAAGGGACAGAAAGATAAGTTAAACCAAGATTAAAAGTTAAAATAAAAAGATTAAAGTTAATCTACATTGATAAAAATGGAAATAAGCAGATACAACATAAAAGAATTAAATGAAAAACTTTAAAGAGAATGTTAAGATTATATAGGGAAATTCGAGATCTGATTGTAAGATGTTTTTTTCTACCATTCTTTCACACGTGCATCTAAAAGTGCATTCCATTTCTTGTTTTCAACACTCATATCATTTCATTCATAATGTAAGAAGATCAAGTAAACCTTCAAAAAAATCTCAAAGAAATTTCAAAAATTGTGCACAATTGTATAGAAAGATTCTAATTTGATTAGAGGCTTTCTAGTTCAAAGTATAATAATAACATTTGCAATGTGATTAATCAGAATTAATTAACTTCAAATTCTATAAGCCAATATAAAGCCGCTATTAAAATTGCCACTATATAATCAGAAACTTACCTCGAATTATATTTAGCTATCATTTATGCGTCATGTTATATTTTTATATTTTCATGATTTTATGTGTCTTTGTTGTTTATCAAATGTTAAACAAGAATTAAATAATCCTCGCGAGGGTTGCGAAAGATAAGTAGAATGCATCTTAAATAATCAATCCCTTAACTGTCTCGGAAAAAAATATTATTACTATTATAATATATTTTGTTATTAATAATCCCCCTTCCCAATATTATGTTTTCCAATATTAATATTCGAGATTTTCTAAAATTGAAAAGTGTGTTGCGCTTCAATTTTTGATGTCACAATATTGTGATTTTTAATACGTAATGATTTTTCGAAATTAATTACACATTAAATTAGAATACAATTAATATGCATGCCGCAATAAATAACGTTATATTATAAATATATAATGTATATATATATATATATATATATATATATATATAAAAAATGTATATATAATGTATATATAATTATATATAATAATATATTGATTGCGCAATTGAGAGAATTAAATAGAATTTTAAGTAAAGAGCAGAAGAAAAAATAAAGTATCACAACATTTATTTTTTAGACTTTTGAAAAAGGTGAACGCGGAGAGTTTTACACGCGGCACAGCAGAAGGGAAAGTTTTAAGCGGAAATTGTTCATTGTGGAATCGCTCTTTTTTTCTTGCTCTTTTTTTCTCGTTCGTCATAACATAAATCGAAAAAGTTGCAATCAAAAGGGCACTCACTGCTCTCGGGACACCACATACGAAGGACATGGTGTCATACGAGTAATCAAGTTTTTTCAAACAAAAAGAGAAAGAGGAATAAAAAGACGAAGAAAGAAAGAGAGGAAGGGAAGAGAAACAGTAAAGGGGAAACGATATAATAATTCGTGGTGATTCCCAAGAGAATGACACGGATTAACACGTTTTCAGCATGTCGTGAAATTCATAAACTTAGGGCGATGTCTGAATCAATCTATTGCAAAAATATACTAGAAATTGCTTCTTTTATTGAAAGAGAAATGATCTTTTACAAAAAGATTGTGTCTTTTTCAATAAAAGAAACACTAGTATTTTGTTCTTTTTTTGACAAAAGAGAGAAAACCCTCCTTTTAAAATATCAATGTAAACATTCTGTCTTGTCTCTTCTTCTTCTTCTTCGGTTTCCCTAATAAATTTCTGATCCACGAAGACAAAGATAGTACCATGAATTTTCAAAAATCAGAAGATCCAGTGCAAGCTTCTGCGAGGAAATTAGAGGCTTCATTTCTTGATAATATTTTATACTATAATAATAAAGTCTTACGATTAAAACAATAGCTTAGCATAACAAAGTAACTCGAGGTGTTCAGCACAGCGGCAGATCCAATTGAACGTCCTAAGAAATAAATGTCCTCAGACGAAAGACTGACTTCAAAACTAATACAGTTTAAATAATCAAATTACTTTCTTTAGCAAAACCAATCAGACATTTCACCACTTTGAAGTTACTCCCAGCAACTAAACTAGTTAGTATCAGAAAAAGGGGAAAAGCAATTTAAATTAATCAAAGAAATAATCAATTTAGATTGACGAACCAAAACAGAGAGATCAGCGAGATATCGAGACGGTATTACCGGGGTAACAAGAGCGAGGTGGTGAGAAGGTGCGCGGGAAGGGTGGGTTTTCGTTACCACCGCCACCACCGTCCACCAACGGCACCAGCACGGTATAAAGTGGTCGCGTGCTCCAAGCGCGGTCATTCTGTCGCGGAGACATCGAAGAGACGTTATCTGAAGAGAAAAAAAGAGAAAGAAAGAGATCTTTACTCAAAGTGCCAATCTTCTGGAACGAGGATCGGAGAACAAGCGATCACCCTGACATCAGCCTGCACAAGGTATAAACTTCCGTTTCCGAATTTCTGTGCGATTTTCTGACCCTTTCTGTCCCGCCAAAGGTCTCTTCGCGGAAGAAGATAATTTCATCGATTATATAGACATAACTCTCTATATATTGAAGTAAATTAAATTTAAAATATAGGAAAAATGAAAAAGTTATGAAAAACAAGTTTATAAAAATTAATTTACAAAAAAATGTCATTCTATTGATATTGCTAAGAAAAGATTACTTAATTGATTTTCTTCTTTTTAAGTGTAATAATTTAGCAAAGAATTTTTTTTTTAATAATCTTTATAATAATTAAAATAATATTTATTTTATAAATTTTAGAAAAATTCATCATTATGTACTCAAAATAAGAACTTATTTATTTATTTATTTTTTTCGAAAAATTGATCCAAGGAGCGAATTTATATAATAAGCAAGTCAAATTTATTTTAATTTAATAATCTTGATTAAAGCATTAAACTTACTAGGATTCAAAATTTTGAATAAATTTGATGAACTTATGATTTGCAGATATATGAACTTTTGAAATACTTGAAATAAGTAATTCTTATGTACGGTTCATACTTTTCTGTATGTAGAAATCGTAACATAGATGCCCGCGCGTGGTGATCAGTAAAAAGAGACTTTCGTGATCGGATCTTGAATCGGAAAAAAAAATTTTGCTAAAGTATTTAAAGATTCAATCAAATACAAAAATAACTTTATTGCAAACTTCGAAATAATTATGTAAAACATTCGAGCATGATAAGTGCAAGAAGTTTTGACATTTTAGTAATCAGCTTGATTTTAAAAGCGTCCTATCATTGAAAAAAGAATTATATATAATATAATTATAGTATCTACCAAGTGTTGCATGTGAAGTAAATAGTATTGAATGAATGAAATTTTAATTAAATGTTCGATTAATTAGAATTCGAAACTTTTGCCGAAACTGAACCGAAATACTACATGTTAATTTCAACCAAATCGGAACAAAAATTAAAAAAATAAGAATCCTATAAAGGCTATATGTATAGACATGCCCATATATAAAATACTTTTTCTTCACAAATATGTCTCATATTTATGAATCATAATCAGATTATGCATCATAATTTATTGAAACAATAATTAAATTTCGGCCGAAATTTCGGTTGTGTGTCAATTTTGGCCAAAGAATATAAGTATTTTTTCGTCATAAACATCATAATTTAATTATTGAAACAATAATTACACATTAAAATTAATATTTATTAAGAAGAGCTATATGGTTTCAGTCGAAATTGAATGTAATAAGTGTTCGTCTTCAGTTTCAATAAAAATTTCGATCGGACTCTACAATTAATATATCCAGAAATAATTTTACTTTTTCAAATATATATATTTAATGATCATTATCAAATATAATAATACATATAACCAATCTTTTGGTAATAATTATTGAATATTTAGAAGAAATAAGAATTAAGGAAGTAAAACTCTTAAATTTGCGTGCGCAAATTTGCGTAATGTGGGTTTTTGACGATTATTTTTATTTTTAATTTTTGTACGTTATAAATTGTACACTGAGGATGATCCAATGTAAAGGATCGAAACATACTTTTATGCTTAATAATTTTTATTTGGCACATTAAATAATATTATAAGCACGAATAACCAGTTTGGCTCAGTAGACCTTTTATTATTTAGATTGAAAAATAAGAATATTTTTGATTATATATATTGTAACTAAACAAATTGATATTATTAATTAATATAATATTATTTTATTTAATATTTAGTAGCTATTACCAAATTCTTTTTCAGTATATTATATAATTATTTTGTACATAATTATTTTGAAGAGCCCATAAAATTATTTTCAAATCTGTGTCTAACTAAATTTTTAAATATTTCAGCAAACCGTTCTTTCCATAATAAAATCTGTAAAATTATTTAGATATAAATTAAATCGATTATACAATTATAAATCTTCTACAAGAAAGGGGAAAAACAATTAATTATAGATATAAACTAGATAAAAAATAAGGGAATGTGGATAGACAGTATTGTAGAGTTAAAAATTGAAACGAAGATTCACGCGCGTCAGTAGAAAGGAATATCAATTCATGATCGAATATCGCTGCTATTATATAATAACAAATGGTGAACGTAGAATCTTTTGAATTGAGATCAAAAAATTCCTCTCCACGATTCATTCATCCGTTAGCTCCAAAAATCGCGATCAAAAGAATCATCTCCTCGATTATTCATTTATTTATTCTTTGAAAATATAATAAAGTTGCACGAGACGAAATAGTCTGTATAACTACATAGTAGTCTACTAGTCTACTTTGTAGTCTATTATGAACACAATTTTCGAATTTCCGTGCGATTTTTTAGCGCGACATTTCCTATACTTCTCGATTCTTAACGCGAAGAAATCTAGTTATATATATTACGTAGAAATTAAAGTAATTCTATAAACTTTTGGCACAAGAGAGAATAATTATGTAGAAATAAATTATATACAAATGAGAAAGCGTCAATAGAAATAAATTTATAAATCTAAACGTCACTACCTATAAATGAAGTAATTAAATTATATCAATTAAGACGTAAATGAATAATATAGATAAATAGCAGCAAATAATAAATTGTATATTTTTAAACTGAAATCACATTCATGAATGTGCAACCTCAATTGTTTTACGAATGATGTATACGATGTATCATCCTTGTTTAACATTGAATAAATAATAAAAATAATATATAAAAAAATATCAAAATGTTATATAAATACAAAGAAATTGAAATTTAATTCAAAAAGTGACGAAGCTCCTATGAATAAAATTCAACAACTATAAATAAAATAGACGGCTAATAAGTATTTGAAGGGCTAATGAGTTTATGCAAAGAAATTACGAATATTACGAGAATTCTCGATAATATAAAAAATAAATATTAAAATAAATATTGTAAAAATGTAAAAAATAAATATTAAAATAAATATTAAAAATATAAAAATAAATATTAATAAATATTAATAAACAGTCTTTAAATTTTATAATAAAAAAATCATCGTTTTGACTTTCATGACGTTAAAATAGACATTTTGACTTTCTCTTGTTCCTTGAGCCAATTCGAATATTTTTATAAAATCATACCGTGAAAATGATATATTAGCATAAAATGGAATGTATTCGATCGTCGCTTTTGTGTTCGATTGTCGCTTCTGCGATTAACAAATTCAAAAGGCGCTGAGTTAAAATTAAATAAAAAGGAAGATTATTTGAAAATGTTACATTTTTTCACTCGTCAGAGGATACGGAAGGCGGTTCACGTTCAAGAAAAACTTCCCGAGACTCGCACGACTTTCTCTATCTCGTTTACAAGTCACAATATAATTTGACCATTCGTCGCGTTCAGGACAGACGGAGATAAATTAAATCTTCTTTCGCTATTTTCTTACTTCACGCAATAATACGGTTGCACAGGCTCTTCTTATACCATGAGGGTTTCCTTCGTCGCAAAGTAAGGAGCCGCACACGTACAAATGAAGTACAAATGGTAAAACATGTACGATGTATTTTCATTGTCGATTCTTGAAAAAAAATGTATACTAAAGAAAATTCAGTACTAAGTAGACATTTACTTATAATAAATAAATTTTTTTACATAAATGGAATTTAGCTTTAAATCACTTCATAAATAATGTCTTAAATATTGAAATCTTTAATCTACACAAATCTATAAATTATTTAAATAGAAAGATTCGGATAACATTTTACAGTATAATTAATCAATTGCCAGTTTATATATGGAATTCAATATACAGTTATCATTCGATATCATTTGATAGCTTGAAAATTAGAATACAACAAAATAATACTAAAAAATTAAAATGGCTAATAAATAAATACGGAAATAAGAAAATTAAAAATATTAAACCAATAAATTATTATGTTAAAACGGATGTCAGTGAATTTGATACAAAAAATAAATATGAAATATAAGTATGGGGAACTAAATTCGGATTTGTGTGATTTACAGTTAACTGTTAGTTTAGAATCTAAAAGTTTCTGTGTAGGTGTTCAATCCGATCAACCATACTAATAATAAATGGTTCATTAACTTGATCCAATAAACTTATTCCGTCAGAGGTATCTAATTTACTGCAATTAGGAGAGAGAAGGCTTTTACTTTCCTATTGGTCTCAGTAAAGACAAAGTAGTGAGTCTTCATCAAGAATGTCGAGGGTAATTTGATTAGTAAGAACACAAGTGCAGTATCAAAAATTAGATACACAGTTTCACAGCTGAATAGATTTCTCGATTTAAAAATTAATTTTAATATAATAGACAAAAGATTAATAGATATGTATAGATCAACTAAAAATTATTGCAAAAAACAATCTGGATATCTTTATAAAAGCGGACAAAGGCAACATAACAGTTGCAATGTATATGACAGATTATAAAAGGAAAATAAATGATGTTCTGAATATTTATCGACATATACTATCGTGAACAAAAATCCATAAAGAATTTAGAATCTCAATTAACATCGATTTTGAAAAGATGGCACTCAAAGGAATACATTTTGAAACAACATATTATTATTTAAAAACTAATGAAGCTCCATTGCCGAAGATTTATATGAAAGGTCTTCCAAAAGTCCGTAAAAAAAATTATCCACTCAGAATAACTGTTTCCTCGGATAACTCCACATTGTATCGGTTGGCTTTATTTTTGAATAAAATTTTACGTGATAGTTTACCACATTGTAAAAGTATAAATATTTTATAAAAAATAGCTCTGAATTATTTAAACAATTATCAGACAAGATCATACCGGATGAATATATAATGTTGTCTAAAATAAATGTGTCATTATTGTTCACTAATATTCCGTTGGATCTAACATTATTAGGTATAAAGAATAGATAATCAGAAATAATTAAAAAAATCGAATTGCCCTTTGAAGAATTTATATTGGCTACTAAATTTGTATTGTCATCTTCCTTTTTCAC